GGGGGTTTGGTTTTTATTCGCCCCGTCTGCTAGGTGGTTGCAGCAGGTTTTGGTCNAGCTGCTGGTTCCCCCGCTCAGCCAGCCCGGACTCGGCGGGGGAGACACGGAAACCACCCGGGTGGTGCGCTGAATTGCGGAGCAGGAGACGTTCAAGGCCGCTGACGTTTCTGCAGACGGTTGCCCGGGGAAACCATGTTATTTTCCATCCGACGGTTGCTCAGGGGAGAAAACAATGCCGCAGCTCCTCCCGCCCCCCCATTTTCAACCTTTTCCCCTTCATCCTGAGGTCTGACTGGCGACCTGACAGGGCTGCAAGTGGCCCCTTTAAATGTTTTACAAGCCACCAATCAAAAACTCAAGAGACACCGTCTCTGCTGGCCCCAAGAGTTAGCAAAATTACGGCAATTACTTTTTCCCACGTTACCCCCAGTTCAGTTTCTCAGAACATGAAAAAAGAATCTGTTGGAACAGAAGAACCAACCCATTCTTGTTGGAGTGACTGAACAAATGCATAGAAGACGGGATTTCAGTAGCTGCGGCTTTTCTTAACTTTGCAAAATCTGAAACTATTGGTCTATACCAGTGTTTCTCAACCTTGACAATTTTAAGGCATGTGGACTTCAACTCCCAGAATTCCACAGCCAGCATTGCTGGCTGTGGAATTCTGGGAGTTGAAGTCCACATGCCTTAAAATTGTCAAGGTTGAGAAACACTGGTCTATACATTAAGTTTCTCAGTGACCATTTTAAAAAATATATTAAAAAAACCAGAATAGTAATAACAATCACATCTAAAATTCTTCATTGGGTTTCCTCATCCACTACACTGTAGCACTGGAGTGGTCTTAGCATCCTTGCCTGGTCTGATACACCTTGGTTCAGGGAGAGAGGTTCTGGCTCTCCAGATGAATTACAACTTCCCAGCAACTCAGCCAAGATGGCCAGCACTGAGAGATGTTGGAAATGGATGTTCGGCCACATCTGGGATAATTCAGCTTCCCTACTTCCATTGCAATACATGGCTGGGCTCGAATCAGGATCTGGCAGATTTTTAAGGTACAAATGGGTGGGTTAATAGCAGTATGTACTTAAAATATAACAAAAAATTACCTTTTCATTTGCACTTTATTTAATAAATCCATGTGTTGGCCATCAATCTTTACAGTATACTCAATTTTAAGAAGGTAATTGTTTTGCCTATCCAACATGGATAGTTGTACAGCCATGTAAGAAAAGGTCAAAATCAGATAAAACAACTTGTTTCATAAACAAGGGGGAAAACAAACTGTTTAATTCTGCATGGTTACTCAGCATTGAATCACAGTGAACTTAATCAGTTATATTCCCAGTAAAGGCCTTTAAGACTCATTTTTTAACAAATGTTAACCACTATAATTGATATCCATAATGTAATTCAAAGAATAGGTATCCTTCCCCCACATACACACAAAACGTCTAGCAAAAAAATTCCCACATTTCAACTGTCAGCGAAAAAGTAGTTATCTTCAGAAATCCTTGATCAACTTCTTTGTAAACTGTTTTTAAATATCTAACTACTAATGCAATTCTAATTTATTATTACTTACAGCATTTTGCTATCATACGTTTATTAATTCATTATAAATTATTCTAATTTCCTATTTGTCCCCTACAAGGTTTTTCAGATATCAAGAAAAAATATCTATGACTTACCATCCTGCCATCGTGTTCCTGTTGACCAACCAAAGATTTTGTAGTAGATATGAAAATGCTTAGCTTTGGCTACACTGTGTTCTTATAATTATTTATATTAATTATCAGTAAGAAATGAAGGCCAATACAATAATCAAAACTAAACAAAAATGCATCTTTTTCATCAGTCATTAAAAAAGCAATTACTTGAGAAAGAAACCATATTTCAGTGGATCATTTTTTTCAAGAGTGAATGTTGACGTTCCGGTATAAAAAGATTCTCCTGAGACTTCTACTATAACAGCATTGTGATCGCCACATTTTGTTTCCTGGATTGGAAAAACAAGTGTTTCAGATTAAAAAAATAAATCTGCTCATTAGTTCAGCAATACAATCTATAAGCTTTTGCAAATAACAAACATGTGAGGAGACATACAGTATATACCCAGAATGAAAAATTAAGTGATAATTAAAAACATATTCTCAACACTGGACAATTCCGAATGTTATGCAACCAGAACAGCATCAATATTTTTTCTTTAACTTCCTATTGTTTCATATTCTCTGAATGTTAAAAATTGTATTGGGCTGCACTGGGAAAAAAAATCCAAGTTGGGAATCTTGCACTGGTCCTTCAAAATCATTGCTCTTAATACTAGATAACTACTTCCTCCCCCTGAGGTATATTTTGAGTCCACTTCAATGCTACCCAAGGAAAAGCAACTCTTTCAGTCAACTAATACCATATTTTCTAAAAAATAACATACACAAACTCCTCCCCATTCCTCCCCATTCCTCCCCATTCCTCAAAAGAAAAATTTGGTATTTACCTTTATTGCTTTTCCAGTAAACAAGGAACCAGTTGAACTGCTTCTGAAGGTCCTGGTCTGGGTCAGCTGAATTAATCCTTTATGGTATTGTAAGGCAATGCGAGCAGTCACACCTGATCCTGTAGGACTTCGATCAACCTATTTTAGAAATATATGACCTGCTGTATTTTTGTTCATTGTTCCTTTATATAAATCAACAATTATATTCATATCTTTGCTTATTCACTTTCATCTTCACACTTTCCTTTGGAATTCACCATTCCAATTAAATATGATGGCAATAATTATGTTTTGGGGGATAAAACATTCTAGAATAAGGCTGACTGGGCAAGAATAGACTGGCGGGCAACTTCCTGTAAATAAACAGAGCAAACCCCACTCCCTCTAGTACTGAAGTTGTTATTTAGGTTGTTAATGAAATGTCTGCACAATAACAATCAAGCTCAGAGAAAACCAAGGACTCTGCCCTAAAATAATATTGGCTTTAGCTTATTATTCAGTAGTAATATGAAGAAGTTTTGTGCCCAGAAAATTAGAATTCCGTCTTTATAAAGTCTGTGCAGAAGGAAGACATCAGTGACACTCTAGATCAGGGGTAGGCAACCTTGGCTCTTTTATGACTCGTGGACTTCAACTCCCAGGACTGGCTCAGGAATTCTGGGAGTTGAAGTCCACGAGTCATAAAAGAGCCAAGGTTGCCTACCCCTGATCTAGATATTGCATGTCAACCCCAACCATCATGCTGGGTGGTTTTAGAAGTTGTAATTCAATATTTAAAGCTAGTGCATCATGCTCAAGGCCCTTAGCCCGCCAGATAATCCTGTCCAGCCTGTGCCTCATTCAACACCAGCAGGAAAACCAGCTAGTAGTCCCAAAGGTGCTTTTTCACGTGGCAATTGGACTTTCTTTTTTCTCTCTGAAGACATTTCGCTTCTCATCCAAGAAGTTTCTTCAGCTCTGACTGGATGGTAGGGAATGGAAGGATTCCAATCAGAGCTGAAGCTTCTTGGATGAGAAGCAAAAAGTCTTTAAAGAGAAAAAAGGAAGTCCAGGTGCCTCGTGAAAAAGCACCTTTGGGACAACCATGACCTGGATAACTGAGAATCTCCATAGACAGCTAGAAGTAGGGCAGCCACTGGTTGGTCCTAAACAGGTACTACAGTTCTTACACATAAGCTAAACAGGCTAGCTACACACCTACTCTGTCTCAAGGGACCGCTGCAATTCACATGAAGGCAGGTGGGTTCACTGCAGGATCAAAGAGGAGCAGGCCTCCCCATTTACCTGCTGCCCGTTGCCCTTCTGCAACTTTTTCCAAGCTTATTCTGCTGTTCAGTGCTGAGGCTCCGCACAACATTCCCTCCATTGGTTTTTGAACTTATCAGGTGGGAGTTGCACTTGGTTGGGGATCCCTGGCCTTTCCTTTAAAAGCAACTTGAAACTGATTAAATTTTCAGGAATTATAGTTTCTTACAAAGGATTTTTTTTTCTTAGCATTTTCCCACTAGTCTACTTTTTTTTTGGATCAACCAAATATTGATCCATTGTTTGCGAAAAAAAAGCTTGACCAACTAGCTTGTTGTCTTAGCCTGACATCTTGAGCTGGCCCAAAGTCACCTAGCCAGCTTTTACCGGTATGTCTAAAGCAGGACTAGAACTCAAGTCTCCTGGTGTCTAGCCTGGTGCCTTAACCAATACACCAAACAGGTTTTGGCAATACTTGACTAATTAAAACCAAAATTTGCCTTTCTTCTTTAAAGACATTGCCAATACAAGTTTTATTTCTTGGCAGAAATAAACTCAGGCATAGAATTCTTGGAAGATAAATTCTTATAATTAGGTTCAACTACACTGCTATTCAACCACAATCAAATCACGTATTTTATTGATTTTTTGGTTAAATGAAAAACATCACCAGGAACTGGCTGAAGTGAAGTGGTAAAAAGGTAGCTCTTTTTCACAGTACTGTTTTATAAAAACTATGGCAATACACCTTTTTTTTAAATGCATCCTTACACTAGACAGTTTTGTGTTTGGTACTCATTCTAGAATCCTAAAGGATCACAACTCTTCTCGGCAGTATGTCCAATCTCACTTCCCATTTCATGGTAATTATCAGAGCCTTTTTTCAATAAATGTCATCCATGATAACAGACATCTATGATGTCTTTCTTGTTGTAACTTCTGGGTTGTTTTCTTGAAGCCATGTGTTAGATTTTAAGCTAAAATTAAACTACTGAGACATTTATTCTCTTATAAGAGCTAGGACAAAGATTTTTTAATGGATAAAGCAGACATTCAGATCTGGCTTTCCTGCCTTTCATATTGCAGATTCTACATATTCTCCCACTCTAGGAACTAGAGTCATGGTGGGTGCTTATAATTTCACTCCTGCTATTTCAGGACTCCGATCGACAAAGATCCAGCTGAGGGCTATTCAACTAAGGACTACTTTTTAAAGATAATAGCTCAGGATATTTCTTCATGCATGCTTTATTACCTGTGCATCTGCAAATACACATATATTACTTGTAGGTTCATCACTAAATTCATCTTTCCCATCTGTCAGTATAGTTCCATAAATGAAAGCCATCTCTTCAATGAGAGGGTGGTGAACTTTGAACTAGAAAAAACAAAATATTTTAGAGACTTTTATTAAAATATAACCAACAAAAGGATCTGACTGCTCCATTAGACCTGCACATAGTATCAATGTCCCTACTCCGACACGGATTTGAGTATTTCACTGCAATTTCTTAAATGAAAAACTAGTTGGAAATATTGTGAACCAGGTTTTACATTTGTATTAAAAAAAAAGAAATCAGATATCAGAAGATTAATATAGCAACCATCTAGTCAGAAGACTGGAAGAGGAATTATAACTGAATATACCATAGTTCAGCTTTTGTTGGAACACTTTTAAATTTTGATCTATTACTCTATATAAGAAAAGCTCTGAAAGATTAAATCCAAAGCCATCAAATCAAGCACTGCTCATGGGTGACTGATCGATACAAAAATTCAAAGAACTGAAGTTGATATGCCAATAGCAATCTTCTTCCAACATTCCCCAAGAGTTAGTAATTAAATAAGGTTATGATTCAGGCATCTAATAACTAATTCCCCAATTTACACTTGTTCCTATTTCCAACACTGCATTTATTCAGAATGGCCAGAGTATAGAAATCTGTTTTTAAAGCAAAGTTATTTTATATATTATTATTCTGGAAAAATTATTTCTGACTGCTGACAGTATTTTGAAAAGGTTAATTAGATTTTCCTTTCATTTCAAATAACTCACTGATCTGCAAAATGATGCATTCAGCTAGTAAATACAATACAATCTTAAATGTACCTGAGCCTTTACAGCTTCAGTTACTGCAGATGCCGCATCTACAAGATCCCTAATTTTTGAGGAACACACATCAAGGCCTAATTGTTCAGCACTGAGAAATGCATAGAAAGCACCCCCATAGCCAACATCAAGGAGGACTTTTCCATAGCCAGGAACATCAATGGTTATATCTGATGATCAGGTAAAAACAAAAAGGAAGGGAGACAAGAGATAATAGTTATATAAATATCATCAGTGTTTATTAGTTTTATATTTATTTTGTTCAATAATGTATTCTTAAGGCAACTCCCTCAAAAGAGTGTTAAAATCTGAAATCCAGATTCCTTATCTACCCTTACAACTAATGTCTGAAGATTCCCCAAATATAGTGATACTTCCTTCTTGTGTCGTTATCTTTTTCTGGTTTCAATCTTATTAGTGCCATTATTCAATCTTATTTATAGAGAAAATTACATTGGTGGCAGGATACTATATACTACTTTTAATTTGTTACTGAGATATAAGACGTTTCATCTTCAGAACTTCAAGATCAGAAAGTAAATAAAAATTACTGTGGGGATCTATAGGAACTACAATCAAATGACATAACTATAATCAAATGACACAACATCCATGGGGTAACTGTGAGTGATTTAATACACGGATTTACATGAATTTAAAAACAAAACGTACAGGCTCACTAAGGTAATCATGAGAAGCAGTGTAGTACAGAGAAGCATTCCTTCCATGAATCAAAGTTAAAGCCTAAGGAATAGCAGAAAAGAGGTTAATTACAATAGATTTACATTATCAATCACCAAAAGCATGCAGGTCAGAAAGCAAGTTTTCAATTTTTCAACTGAGCTATACCATTTTATATCAGATAAAATTCATATCTGTGACCAAATAATTATTGGATTAATTAAGGATGCCAACGTTTGAAATATTCTATTATTATATATTATTCTACTCTCAATGTTCAGCTCTTATGATTCTTTAGGGAAAAAAACCCATAGGACCTATGTATAAAAACAGGGATGTCAAACTGGTAGCCCACGGGCGGGATACATCATGCGCAAGGCCATGCCCACCCCAGCTCTGCAAAGGCAAAAAAACGTCAAGATACATCACGTGACACGATCGAGTTTGACACCCGTGTATAAGAATAACTTATAAAGGCATTTATACTTGTGTTTCTTAAACCATTTTCCCTCAGGACTTTTTCTACCTTTTATAAATAATGGAGGACCCCAAAAGGCTTTTGTTAGTATAGGTTACATTTATTGATATTTATCTTTTAAAAATTAAAACTGATACATCTGATGCTATCATTTCTCTTGACAGTTTGATGGGATATTTGATATTGTATTATTTTTTTAACAAATGATGGCAAACAATTTTAACTACAGATCCTTGAGAGGATTTTGAGAGACCCTCTGGGATCTTAGGACCACACTTAAGAAACATCGAATAGAAACCAAGAAACTGAATTTGACAAATTAGCTCAGTTCTAGTGATGGCAATATATACAGCTAGTAAATTGGGAAAGATGACTAATATTTGGAACAATCAAGTTCTTTCTCTGGCTATTTTATACGCTACAGATTTTAAACACCACCTTTTCATTTGAGTTTAATGTCTGCTTTCTTCATAAAAAGGAAAAACAGATTTCTGTTGTCTGACTTGACCAATATAGCAAACCCAAACTCAAACCCTGGTCACTTCCCAGATAAAATATTGTTAACAAATTCTAGATGGGCCTGCCCTTGAAAAGCATCCAGAATCTGCAAGTACAAAATGTGATGGTGCAGGAAGTTATGTGCACTCCAAGATCAGTATACATTACACCTCAGCTTCGTAAACTGCATTAGTTGCCAGTTTGCTTCTGGTTGCAAGGTGCTGGTTATTACCGATAAAGCCCGTTACATCTACCTGTCCCATCAGATCGGGCAGAAGGGACGTTTTCCATTCAATGGGACCCAGAAGAGCCTTTTCTGCTGTTCTGCCTTCTGGAACTGTATCCCTCATGAGGTTACATTGGCCCTAACTTTGTTGACCTTTGGAAGCCCCTGAAGACATGGCTGTGTCATCACGCCTGGGGATCCCAGGGACATGGGGAGCCTGCACGATGGTTGCATTGTATTGTCTATAAACTGTTAAGGCAGTGGTTCTCAACCTTTTTAATGCCGCGACCCCAACCGGTCGTAAGTCGAGGACTAAACCGGTCGTAAGTTGAGGACTAAACCGGTCGTAAGTTGAGGACTTTCCCTGCCCGGGAGCGCCGCGCATGCGTGGTTCCACCCCCTGCGCCGGCTGAGGCGTAGCTGGCAAGCAGGCCGACCACCAGCTGGCCCAGCCCAAGGGAGGTAAGGCACCCGCCGGAAAAGGGGGAAAAATGGCGGACAAAAAAAATAGCAGCCTTCCTTGGCGACCCCAGTGAAATGGTCGATCGACCCCAAATGGGGTCCCGACCCACAGGTTGAGAACCACTGTGTTAAGCTGACACATTCCTTCGCTTTTATATTTTAATTTATACAAGTGTATCTTTGCTGTTTTAACTTGTGAGCTGCCTAGAGTCACATGAGATGGACAGCTACATAATCTTAAATACATCACACCCTTAAAGGATAAATTAAGGATAAAAAGTTAAATTAACATTGCTCAGGCATCTCCCACACCTGTGGACTCCCAATTCCCGAGAATTCCCGAGCCAACTTGGCTACTGCCTAGAATGCTGGGAGCTGAAGTCCATCTACTTCTGGAAGTTGCCCTGATGGGAAAACGGGCTTAAGTCCAAGAGCTGGTCAGAGTAGCACCATCGCATCCCTACCGGTAGCCGCGGCGAAGGCAGGCACGCTGTGGAAACGAACGCGGCTTCCACTGCGCTGCCCGTCCCAGGACGCAAAAGCCTTGACGGGCCCGCAGGGGCAGTGAATGGTGACGGCGGTCTCGCCGGGGGAAGGCGAGGGCTGGCAGAGGCCGTAGTCGAGGGCAAAGCGGCCCAGGCAAAGGACGGCGTGGCCGCACATGGAGCTCGCTCCCTCGTTGTGCATGAAGAGGGCTCCGAGGGCGGCTTCGGGCAGCTCGCTGGGCACCACCACGGCGCCGTACATGTCGCGGTGTCCGCGGGGTTCGTGCATCAGCAGCCGCCTTACAGCGTCCAGCTCCGGGGAGTCCAGCAGGCGACGCCGCCGACTCAGGAGAGGCAGCTCAGGCCCGGGTTCCAGCAGGCCCAGCCCGCCAGGCACCACCACCCGGAGCGGCTCCCCTCCCGCGTGCATCTCCACCGTACGGATGGTCGGGCTGCCTGGCTCGCGCGGGGGCAGCCAATCACCGCGATCGCCCGCGGACATTTTGAACGGCTTTTCTTAACCGCGACAGCGACTGATCGTCTCTTTAGATAATGCCACGCCCCATCCCGAGGCCCGCCCACCGACGCATCACGAATGGGCGTCATTAGAATGAGAACGGCAAACCCTCTGCTCCAGTGTTTCTCAACCTTGACAATTTTAAGGCATGTGGACTTCAACTCCCAGAATTCCACAGCCAGCAATGCTGGCTGTGGAATTCTGGGAGTTGAAGTCCACATGCCTTAAAATTGTCAAGGTTGAGAAACACTGCATGAGTCTGCTCGGTTACGTAGCTGGGGAATTTTGGGAGTTTTAACTCCAGGCATCTTAAAAGTTGCTGAACGCGAACGGGCTAGTGATCCAAGATTATAAATCTCCCTTTCCAAAAAAACTACTGCAATCCTTTTTGCTCGATCCCAGCCTTGGTCAAACCATTGTTCTTTATATAGTTATAATTCAAATGTTAGCTATTTAATTAAAAATACGTTCACATTTTCTTTAAAACTGCACTGGTTTTCATCACCCAGGTTTATGGATATTGCACCAAAGCAGGATAATGGAGAAGCAAGCCCATATCTTAAGGCAGATGTGCAGTTGCGGCTTTGATCTGTTGCCAGTATTGTCACACTGTTTCCTGGTGCAGGAGCAGATAACACATAACATCCTTCTCTTTGGACTTTCAACCCATTGCAAATGCGCCTTGGAATCCCCAAAAGGTTGTTCCAGCCAGTCCTTTCCTGCTTGGTTACTGTTCTCTGCTGGTTGGGAGTTGATATTTTGTTTTTATAATCTAGTTAGTTGATCTAACAAGTTAATGAACTATTGTCAACTATAGATGCTCATGATGCAATCACTTCCTAGTGCCCCCTATAGGCACTCATTTGGCTAGGTAAAGTATGCTCGCTTAGCTTCCCAGTGTTATTCCTTAATCCTGTGGATAAAATTATATTGTTATATTATGTTGGAATTGATTTAGATAGTTCCCAGTAATTTTGTTTTATACAATTATTTTGTGTCAAGCCAACAGGGGGAATTAAGTTCCTGTTTAGCAATCATAAAGATGTTATGTAATTCTGATATAAGTCACTCTGCATATGCATGCTTAAAAATTTATAATTGGCCTAAAAACCATTTTTCACGAAGCATAAACCATAAAAAGCCAGTGTATCTAAGTGTCCCAAAAGCGCAGCACACCTTCCGAATGTACATTTATATTTAAAAAACCTAATTCTTGTTGCATGTCTAATAACAAAGGTCCTTTATAAATCACATAAATGGGAAATTTTTTATAATATTATAATAAAAGATCTGACTGATATGACAACATATGGCAACAAAAGCTACATCTTTCTGATATCCATCCATAATTCCTAGCTGCTGGCATAGATTGTCGGGGAATATAAATTAGATAGACATAGATAGACTACACTTGAATAGATAGACTAGACTCAATTAGATTAATAGATTAGACTAGGCTAGACTAGTTTACAAACTCTTTCAAATATTCTTACTTCACCAGGGTAAATTTTACAGATAAAGAGAAAATTGGCTGAAGTTGATTTTCCAGATGTTTCATATATTTAAGGGAGTGCGTCTTTATTATTTCTAGCTCTACGGGCAAAAAGACTTCTGCATCTTGGCTCGGCATTTCCGTCCTCCAGGATTAAGTTCCCTCCTGCGCAGGAAGTGAACATCGTCACATGACCTGGGAGGCGGAACACAAATAATAGCTTGTGGGTTTGGCTTCCCCACCTACTTAAGGGCAAGCAGACAATCGAATCGGCGAGGGGTTGCGGCATCTGGTCGGCAGCTGATTGGCTGGATATTTGAGTGCTGTCAAATTCCCGAATCCTTGTCGTACTTCCGTCGCGACCGGACTGGAGTAAGATGGGTGAGTTTGAGTTGCGGAGACGGTCTCGCTCTGGTTGTGGCCAGTGTTAATGTCGCCTGTAGCCCCACGGGCCAGGCTTGAACGCCACTCACTTCCTCAGTTGAAAGATGGCAGGGTTGGATCCCGAGCATCCTCCTAGTATCCCTGGAGAAAGTCGCCTGATAGAAAAGGGTCGATTGCGCGACCAGATAGTAGAGCGATGTTTTGCATAATTTTATGGTGCTGCTAACTTTCTCTCAAGTTTTGTCATTATTCCAGGGCCGCTTGTAGATTTCTTTTTTCTTTTTTCTGATCTTTAGAATAGGATTCTATTATCAGTACGCTGTATACCCGAACATTATGTGAGTTTAGGACAGGGGTTCTCAACCTTGGCAACTTTAAGACTTGTGGACTTCAACTCCCAGAATTCCTCAGCCAGCTTTGCTGGCTGAGGAATTCTGGGAGTTGAAGTCCACAAGTCTTAAAGTTGCCAAGGTTGAGAACCCCTGGTTTAGGATAAGGTAATAAAATAAGAAAATGCATAGATTCCATCATGGTACTCCCTTTTTGCAACATCAAGCAAAATCTAGACAAAGGGTAAGAAATAATAAGCCAAAAAGGCTTATTAAGGAAATTAAGGAAAATAAATATTAATCTATGTCACAATACCAGTCTATATTCGCAAACCATCCTTGCTTCCACTGCATCCAGCACTGCTTCATGCATTCTTTTTGTTCTTTAAACAACAACATATATTACCCACTACTTTTTGCAAAATTTGCACATCTTAAAACTTCTCTATTCATTCTTTAATCTTTGATAAGCATTTCACCATAAGAAATACATCTGCTTTTCTATTTATTTTTTTTGCAATTCATTTACATGTATAATGTGCAGTTGTTTACTATCTTTTCTTTCAAACATTAATTTTAAGATCCATATATCTCATTGCACTGGCTCCCAGTAGATTTCTGGCTGAATTCAAGGCTGATTGTCACCCTTCATGAGGCCAAGTTACATGTGACACTGTCTTTTCAGATGGTTTCTGTCTATCCCATCAGGTAGACCAGAATGGGCATACTCCTTGTCCTATCAGTGAAGCAGTGTCATTTGATAGGCAATAGGAACTTTGCCTTCTTTGTTCTGTTGCTTGTCTTAAGAACAATCTTCCCCTGAGATATAGACAGACAGCCCCACCTCAATTTGCCTTCTGGAAGACTATGAAGACCTGGCTTTTCCCCTAGGAACTGAGATCAGGGTGTTCATAGAAGTTTGGTGTGGGGTAATTGTGTTCTTTGATTGAGCCTGTTGCATTCTAGCCAAAATCTACAAATATTGTATTGTTCTTGTTAGCAGATAATGCAGCATATAGCACAGGATCAACCAAATATGTTAACCTAGTCCAGGGGTAGGCAACCTTGGCTCTTTTATGACTCGTGGACTTCAACTCCCAGAATTCCTGAGCCAGCCATGCTGAGGGGAAAGGGAGAGGATTCCAAACTGAGCTATGCTGGCTCAGGAATTCTGGGAGTTGATTTACTAAAATCATTACTGTATATGAAAGCCTTGCAATGACCAACACTATGAGTGCAATTTATGTGGAGCTATGTAGTAATGATTATGGTATATGGAAAATTGCATAAAATCAGATGAGATTTTATAGATAAAACATAAAAGTCAAGAATTATACACTCTTTTTTGTGTAAGTTGTAGATATTCAGCCAGACTGCCTTGGACTTTATTGTGGAAGAACAGTGGAAATTATAAATGGAACTGAAATTCATGGTGATTGTGGTGTAAGTTATAATTTTTCTGAATATTTAAAACAAGGGTGTGTTGCATTTTATAACTGTTATTGGACATAACTAGGTGAAAGGTTGTGCTGAATGTTTACATGAATTGTTTTTATGTAAATAATCAAATAGAAAGGAAAGCTAGACAAACATTTTTAAATAATTAAGTAAAGGCTTTATAAAATAGATTGTGATAAAACTTTCCAGGTATGTCCCAGAGGACAAAGAAGTGATGCCTATAAAATTTGCCGCGAATGTATAGGATCCCCAGAACGCTATGATTGGCTTTATCTTGGCTTTATGGCAATGCTACCTCTCATTCTGCATTGGTTCTTCATTGAATGGTATTCAGGGAAAAAGAGGTAAATATTTATTAAAATAAAATAAGGTTTTAGCTTAATAATATTTAACTTTAAAATACAGTAACTTCTCAACTGAATATATAAAAATGTTATTTATAAAGAGATAACATATCTGTACCATTTGTCCTCTTGGATTTTAGCCTCTATTTAATTCTTGTTAATTTTAATCATTTTTACATTTATACTTTTATTATAATGTAAACTGCTCAGAGTTGATTAGACAGTGAGATGGGTGGCATATACATTAAATAATAAATACATCTCACCATCTCCTGAAATATAAATTCAATACTGAAATAAAAATATAAAGACATTTTTAGTTCAGCTCACTTGCTAGCTGCAGTTTTCTTGGCAACAGTTCTGAAGTAGTTTGCACAAGTACTTCCGCAACAGTGCAGAAATAGTATGTATTGGCTTTTTCCAGGTTTTTTTCAACTTTTCACTCTAGCCTACAATCCTGAGAATCCCTAACAGGTTCCCATCCAAATTCTAGCCTGGCCTAATTCAGCTTAGTTTCCAAGCCCAGACCAGGTGTCTCTTGTTCTCCCACCTGCTGGTACTATTATTTTAACCCATGAACTTACCCAAATCTATAGGCAGGCCTCGATTTATAACCAGTCGCTTAGTGACCGTTCAAAATTACAATGGACCTCTTTGGTGGTGCCTGTCACCCAGTTGTGAAGATTTAATGGCTGTCCCCCCCCCCCCCAATCTGTTGGTGCTCAGCAACAAGCCCAGATTTACAGCCATTTGCAGTGTCCCCTGGTCACGTGACCTTGTTTTACAATGGTTTGCTGAAAACAAGGGTTTATTTTCAGTTTTCGGCAAACTTGGTCCCATAGGGAACTATTGGTTCACTTAATGACCATAGCATTTGCTTAAACACTGCAAAAAAGGTTGTAAAATCAGGCTGGTCATGTGAGTGATGATTTACAACTATTATTACTTATGGCTGTGATGTAATAACCTGTAGTTATTTTTATATGCATGTATTTATATGATGGAAGGTCACATTTGTTTATTTAAAACATTTATATAGCCACCAATCTTCTATTGATCTCTGGACATTAAAAGCTCTGATTTTTTTTTAAATATTGAGAGATTTTTCAAAAGTTAACTCATTCTCCAAAGTTCTCTACGATAAAACAAATAAATCTGGAAAGTCAAGGCACCTCCTTCAGATGGAGAATAAGCTCTTGGATTCTGCCTGCTGTCATATTGAAGGTTTTGCAACACTCCCTAAGAGTGATAAGAGAATTAATGTTTTATGGCACTCAGCTCTTTTATTTCAAGTACTTATTTTATCTTTTCTCAACAGTTCCAGTGCGCTTTTCCAGCACATCACTGCTTTAATTGAATGCAGCGTGGCTGCAATTGTTACCCTGCTTGTAAGTGACCCCATAGGCTCCCTGCACATCCGTTCATGCAAAGTGATGATGCTTTCTGACTGGTATACCATGCTTTACAATCCAAGCCCTGATTACGTTACCACCATTCACTGTACCCACGAAGCTGTCTATCCTCTGTGAGTGTATACTTGTAACCTCCGTACTGATCTGATACTTTGAACAAAAGACCTTTTCATGTAACATGTAAAATAATTTAATTTTAATGGTCTATAGCAGAAGCAAGTTTTTTGGGGTTAAGTAAAATGGCATTGGTTGGTAAGTTATTGTCACTACTATAGTTGATTTGCAGTGTAATAGCTGGTGGCCAGAGGAACAAATATAGGGCTGTTTTTATTCTAAAAAACTGCAATTATGAGCAATATATTACATATCTTTTGTTGTAGTATTTTTGTTTAACAAAATTGGCACCCATCCTTGAGACTTCTCCCCCAATGGCTGTTGTAGAGTGAGAGCTTTCTCTTACCCATGATCTGCTGTCTTTGCCAGAGCTGGGTTTTTTTTGGCAGCCTTGCCCCCTGAATTTGATGGAGGCATTTAAGAAGAAGCCAACACAATGCTGGGCTGCATTAACAGAGGGATAGAATCAAGATCACGTGCAGTATTAATACCACTTTACAATGCCTTGGTAAGGCCACACTTGGAATACTGCATCCAGTTTTGGTCACCACGATGTAAAAAAGATGTTGAGACTCTAGAAAGAGTACAGAGAAGAGCAACAAAGATGATTAGGGGACTGGAGGGTAAATCATATAAGGAACGGCTGCTGGAATTGGGTATGTCTAGTTTAACGAAGAGAAGGATGAGGGAGGACATGATAGCAGTGTTCCAATATCTCAGGGGTTGCCACAAAGAAGAGGGAGTCAAGCTATTTTCCAAAGCACCTGAAGGCAGGATAAGAAGCAACGGATGGAAACTAACCAAGGAGAGAAGCAACCTAGAACTAAGGAGAAACTTCCTGACAGTTAGAACAATTAACCAGTGAAACAACCTGCCTCTAGAAGCGGTGAAACGAGGTTGTGACCTTCAAAAATTCTTCTCTGACCTGTCGGTAAACAGGCTTTACCACATCCCAAAGGACGGACTCGTCCCCCAACCTGAGCTACTGGAGGTTCCAGGGAAGGTTGAAATAATAATAATAATAATAATAATAATAATAATAATAATAATAATAATAATAATAATAATAATAATAATATATTATTATTATAAGACCCCGGATGACTTTTGGACCACTGTGGACCCACCCAAGAGGGGGAATCTTGAAGATTGCAACGCCTTGCAAGTGGGCAGCTGAAAAGTCAAGGGCCTCTTACACTTCTTCCTTTCTCATAAGCAAGCCAAGACTTTTAATTTTTACTTTCTGAACTTTTGCTTTTTATTTTTAAATGTTAATTGACTGGCTAAAGGCTGATTTATTTCAACCACTGTTGGAGTCTTTCTATTTTCTTTTTTGTTCTCCTGAAAGGGAAGGAATGTGGTAGCGGGCTTTTAGGACAGACTGGTTGTCTTCTTGCCACAATTTGAGAAGAAGTTGTCAGGGATTTTGTTACGCAACTGTTAGTTCTAGGAATTTTAGGTCACAGTGTGCTAATTTTGACAATCCTCTCTTTCAGCTACACCATTGTATTCATATACTACGCATTCTGTTTAGTGTTTATGATGATGCTTCGTCCACTGCTGGTAAAGAAGATTGCTTGTGGGCTGGGAAAGTCAGATAGATTTAAGAGCATTTATGCAGCTCTTTACTTCTTCCCAATTCTGACTGTGCTTCAGGCTGTTGGAGGTGGCTTGCTCTGTAAGTTGTTTTCTATTCCCTTTTGTACGAAACACACAGCCTAGGATGGAAGTGGCAGGATATAAATATCTTGTTTAGAAAAAAAATAGACTTGAGTTCACACAGGGTTTCCGCCACAAATTAAATCTAAACCAAACAAATCATTGAATGTTTACACATTTACCACAATGTGTAAAGTGGGTGACACTCATAAAATGTATAGTAAATGTGAATGTAAATCTGTTACTGGTAGGTAGATTCTGAGTTTCACTGCATCCTAAAAACATGGAGAAAGTTTTTACAGAAATTAGAACTTATCTTCTTAAATCAGAGGATAGGAATGCAATGCATCACATGAGGACTGTTTGTTTGAGTGCCTTACTTAGACTATAACAGAATATAATGTCTGATATATTTTTACTAAGGGCAGTTTCACTAAATCTGGATTTCCTCTTGAATGTAGTATTTTGAAAAGCCATGGTGGCGCAGTGGTTAGAATGCAGTACTGCAGACTACGTCTGCTGACTGCCGGCTGCTAGCAGTTTGGCAGTTCGAATCTCACCGGCTCAAGGTTGACTCAGCCTTCCATCCTTCCGAGGTCGGTAAAATGAGGACCCAGATTGTTGGGGGCAATAGGTTGACTGTAAACCGCTTAGAGTGAGGACTGTGAAGCGGTATATAAGTCTAAGTGCTATTGCTATTGAAAACTAATTGTTTATCTATCTGTTCTGCTTAACCAATATGATGTAACTGTGTATAACACATTCTCTTTTCCTTCCAGACTATGCTTTCCCATATATCATCATTGTACTGTCTCTTGTTACCCTGGTTGTCTATCTATCTGCTTCTGAAGTAGAGGTAAGTAAATCACTGCAACTAGCAAAATTATTAACGGTCAATAGGCTATGAAGTTCTGGGGGGTGATTGGTTCAGTATCCTATAGGCACTATCTGAGAAGAAATGAATTATTGAATCTGCTGGAGCTATTGAACAGAAATTCTCTTTCTCTCCAGTTGTCAGGATTTTCATGAAGCTGCTGGATACCTTGCCCTGCCAGCATTGACTAGGAAAAAATCTGCTACTAGAGCAAAGAGTTTAAAGAAGCCTTTAAAATTTAAACAGTTTTCAAGAATGTAATCTCTTAGCCCGCTATGCTAAGTAAGATTGTGCATTCAGACACAATCTTCCATCAAAATTCCTAAATGAATAAAAGGTTAAAACTTTTTGCCGACTTTCCTCCTTTAGAGATTCTAATTGATCAGTTTACATACCTGTACCCTGGCTTCCTGCAGAATCAAGATATTGCTTTGGGAGTATTACTGAGATGCGGTTTGTTATCAGAATGAAAAAGATATTCCAAAACAATTCCTGAATCTCACATTCCATTTATACATATAAGTAGATTACTATAAAAATAGAAACTAATGGAAACATTTTATCTTCTATTTTCAAGACTTTCAAAGATCTGCTTGTCAGGAAGAAAAGGCTTATCGTTCTGTTTAGCCATTGGCTGTTGCATGCCTACGGAATTATCTCCATTTCCAAGCTGAGCAACATTTACCAGGACTTGCCTTTGCTGGCCTTGGTGCCTGCACCAGCTCTTTTTTATTTGCTAACTGCAAAATACACTGAGCCATCCAGGATATTATCTGAGGGAGCAAATGGACGTTAATTATAATTAATAACAGTCTGGGTAAGTAGCATATCCAAGATCCAGCCTTCTTGGATCTAGCTGTCCTTACCTTAGTTGGTTAGTTTGCTATGGATCAACTTTCAAGTAAAGCTTTTCTTTTTTTGAGGCTCAAAAGTGGTCAAACTCTGTACTAACTGGAAGGCAAATGTTCTAAACAATGTGTGGGTACCCAGTGTGTGTAATGCCTTAAGAATCTTATCAGCTGTGGAAGCCAAGGACCCCATTGATAGCAGTTAAGTCTCTAGGCTTGTCCTGTATATATGTTTTACATTTGTCTGTTATGTATGAATAATTTGTACAGTATACTTGAAAACAGTATTATTTATTGATTTCACAGCACAGTATTTTCTCACATCTTTGAATGTATATTCATAGAAGAATAAAAGATTCAGTTTTCTAGCTTCAGTTTATAAAGTGTAGTCTGTTTTGACCTAGAGAAAAAAAATTGACAGAACACTTTTATCTGAACAAGCATTTATATGAGATAGAAATTATGTAGCAGCAGCATTTGCTCTGCATTAAAAAAAAATTGTGAAACATTTCAGGTTTGGAAGTGCCAATGAAACATCCACCCCTCTTTTATGAAAAACACTTTGGCAGAATTTTCATTTAAAAAGGAACATTAGAATTCAGTTATGGATTGCAAACAAATGCCTGCTCTTTTTAAAAGTTTTTTTTTCTCCAGGCTGGGGGCTAGATAGCTTATGTGGTTCTCCCTTTTAGTAGTGAATAACCAGATATGCCAGTTATGTTTTATATTATGTAGTGTGTTATTTTATTTGTAACAATGTATTTTTAATTTTGTGAAGCTGCTAAGAGTTCTGAATTTGGGCAGCCTATAAATATGACAAATGAAAGAATAAATAAAGCATCTATTTGAAAAGGCTGTTTCTTTAAAAATGTATCATGGGTTGTAGCTCCTTCATCTGAGACTCAGTCAGCACATTCTTTTCACAATTAAATCCACAAGCAGTTTTACTCAGTTTTTTTTTAAAAAAAACCCCATTAAATACAATAAACAGGAAAGAGACTATTGTCTGCCACCACTGAAGATTGCTTTCAACTATAAAAAATGTTTTTAAAAAGATTAATAGATCATGGAAGTCCACACAGATTCTAGGTATGTATGTGGAAATGGTAATTTACTGATTTTAGGTTATCTAATGGTTAAAGCAGTTTATCTCTTATCTGTTTTTCCTTCTTTTTAAATAAACTCTTTATAGCTTAAAATATGATTGGCTTCCTGTAAGAAACTTTAAGATCCATATTTCAGAAATACAACTGAGTATCTAGTACAGACTTTAAGTTAAATATATTGCTCTAAGGCAGATGTAAGTAAGGATTTTGAGGGGTACCTTTGATTTGTGGGGGGGAAAGCTAAGCAGAGTTCGACTAATTAGTATTTGGAAGGAAGACATCAGAAAATCCCAGAGCTATTGAGTAAACTAGGAAGTTAAAAAAATCCCAGGGAAATTATTTCTACAGTGCTATTCAGAAAACTGCATAAATAAAATTGCCCAGAAGTTGAAGGCATCATTATCTTTAAGAACTGCAATAGCTGAAGCAACAAGTTATAAATAGAACCCAGCTTTTTCATGTAAGTAAGAGGTCTTTTTTTCATTCTATTATACTTTTTGATTGCATTTCTTACTTTAAAATTCCTTCAGATTCAGAAGAAACTCTGCAAAGCCACAAAGCAACCATTTATGCAGTTCTTGGGATTTCCAGAGTTTATATTAGAGAAACTGTGTTGAAAACAGCTTAATCCTTAATAAGGATTTTATCTTTTTTCTTCTGCTAGAGATGAAAAAAATAGAGTTTTATTGGATAGGTCAGTGATGGCGAACCTTTTAGAGACTGAGTGCCCAAACTGCAACCCAAAACCCACTTATGCATCGTCGAGTGCCGGGTGGGTGTGGCCAATTGGGTGGGCATGGCCCATTGGGTGGGCGTGGCTGCGGTGGTAACGGCAGACTGGATGGGACTAAAAAGTTCAATCAATCAATTCCAACTTTGCAAGATCTTTTTTTTCCCCGCGAGAAGTTGAAATTGACTGATTGAACTTTTTTTTTTTTGGCACATGGCGGCAGAGGCCTAAAGTGAAAAGGTTTTATAAAACCCAGCTGAAGGCCTAGGACTGGGGCGACGGCGCGCATGCCCACAGGAGAGGGCTCTGAGTGCCGCCTCTGGCACCCGTGCCATAGGTTCGCCACCACTGGGATAGGTAGATGATTTTTTAAAACATTTAGTAGCAACCAACCTGCATACTT